TTGGAGGCTGTCCTGGAACTAGCTCTTGTAGACCAGGCTGGCCTCGAACTCACAGAGATCCACCTGCCTCTGCCTCCCAAGTGCTGGGATTAAAGGGGGATGTATACTCTTATGTCAAGCTATTATTTTTCCTCCATTAATAGTGACGGAGGGCTGGAGATTCAGCTCTGTGTCAGAGCACTTACTGTGTGTGTGAGTCCCTGGGCCAATGTCCAACACTGAAGAAAACAGGAGCAACAAAAGTGACTGCTCAGCTGCTCCTACTTTCTTTAGATCTCCTTAAATGAAAGAACTAGTACACTGGGACTCAGCACTTGGAAGACAGAGGCAGATGAATTTCCGTGAGTTCAAGGCCAGTCCTGTCTTATGTAGTGAGTTCCAGGACAGCCAGGGCTACATAGAGAGATGCTATCTCAAAACAAAATAAAACAAGACAAAACAAAACAACAATAACAACAACAACAACAACAAAAGAAAACCCAAGTGCACCTTGAATAGAGAGCTGCTCCAGTAGTTAAGGGCACTTGCTGCTTTTCCACAAGACCCATGGTTTGATTCCCAACACTCATTTGGTGCTTCACAACCTTTGTAACTCATTCCAAAGGATCTGATGCCCTCTGCTGGTCTCTACAAGTACTTCACATACTTGTGCAAAGACATACCATTATGCAGGCAAAACCATTCTATTCATGAAAATAAATAAATCCTTAAGAAAAAGAACTAATGTAGTTAATGTAGTCATACAAAAGTTTTTTCTCCTAATAACTCCTTCCTTACACATCTACATGTATGAATCAAGAAGTACTGGCAGCAGTTTTGGACTACATCATGGTTACCAGGCTAGCCAAGCCTACAGAACAAGACCCTGTGTGAAAAAGCCAAAGTCATTTCTAAATCAAAGTCATCTGGCTAGCTCCCCTCCCTGCTTTAAAGACCCCCGTGTCTACCCTCTTAGATCTGTGGGCTTGTAACAGGCCCCTAGGCCTTAGCACAACAGACACCATGATGGAAATACCATTCAGGCTGTAGAACTCAGCAGCTAGACAGCAACATCTGTCAAAATGAGAGTGAAGACCTAACCCATCAGAGTCCATAGTTCTTGGAAACTCCCCAGATGAACTAACCTTGCTTTATTACTTTTGTGGTTCTGCTTCTGGCTGAGACTTCTTGCTAACTGAGGTGTGTCGACCTGGAATGTGGTTTTTATGATTGAAAGCTCACCCTGAGAAAGGCTTGGGACTGCACTCTGGTCCCCAAACCCCTGTGTAGTCACAAGCTGGTTAACAGAGACTTTCACTTGTCTTGAACCCAAGGTCTTCTAGATACCTCAAGGTGTTCAGACTTGGGTGTTTCTTTCAGATAAATTTAGATTTAGATGGGATAGATGTTTGATATATTTTGTTCATTGACACAAGTTAGTTGTTTTAAGTTTAAATATCCCTTTTAGACTAAAAGGAGAATTGTAGGAGGAAAACAGAACTCTGCCATTAGCCATGTGACTTATTAGAGGCGCATACAGATGAGGTAATAAAAGGGCAGGCATAGTATTAAAAAAGAAGAAGAATTCCAGCACATAGACTAAGGGAAATAACAAAATGTAACAGGATGACAAGATATACCCAGAGTGTCACTGTGGATGGAAAGTGACAGGGAGCCACTTACACAAGGAAAAAATTCAGTAGAATGGAAAGGGGGTGGAGTGAGGAATAAGAAAGCAAGAATTGGGAGACCAGATGTGAAACATTTCTTTTTTAAAGCTCAACTACAATGAAACACCTGGTAAAGGCGGCCCACACTAGAGCAGTAACCCTGTCTAGGCTTCTCACCATCCTCTGCACACACCTCCCTACTCTCTAATCTTGTGGCTACCCTCTAGACTAATCTGGAGGGCAAGATCTCCTTCATCCATCCCTGTATCTGTTCCTGTCTCCCAGCAACCAGCACATTAGCCAGCACAGAGTTCACTGGACAATTGATCAATGAAGGACAGTGTGCAGGGTTTTGGTAGTCATGGTGATACACTGCTCAGATCCTCCTGATCAAGGACTTGCTGCCCACAGTCATCAAGTATAGTACAGTGACAAAATAAATACCACTTGCTGGTGATTGAGCTAAGTGGGAGAGAAGGGAGATTGGGCAGAGCATCCAAAGGCTACATCATTTCAGTCTGACCTGGACCACTCTTACAGTTCTGGGTGAAGGCATGACCAGGTCTGCTACGTCATCCATTTTCTTCCCTTCCCCAATCCTGCTTTTTCCCTCTTATCTGCCCAGATGTTGAAGTCAGTGATATTTGTAGACTGGACTAAGGGCTTAGATTAGTAAATCCCACTTTACAGGTATTTTCAGAAGTGATTAGATCCTGAAGACTCTGACCCAATAAAGGGATTAGCCCCTTGATGGAATGATGGTGGAAGCCAGGATCCCTGGTTAGAGGAGGCAGCAGAGTGTGGGCACGCCCTGATCTGTTCTAATAGTCCCCTTTCTCTGCTTTTTGTCTGCCCTCAGGCAAAAGTGTTCCTCTAACATACACCCTGCTACTGCGAAGTTTCTGCCCAAGTAATCAAGGACTGAATCCTCTAAAACCCAGTCCAAACAAATTCTCTCTCCCTTGTGTTTCTTTCTTCCTTCCTTCCTTTCTTTCTTTCTTAACATACTATTAGTGTGTGAGAGAGAAACAAAGAGAGATATCCATGTCACCGCCCTCGTAAGAGTAGGTCAGAGGTCAACTATCAAGAATCAGTTCTTTCTATCAAGGTTTCCGAGATTGAACTCAGGCAAGTGCTTTTACTCACTGAGCCCTCTTGCTTGTTGTTGATTTACTGTGCAGCAGGCACAGGCCCAGAGAACAGAACAATATCTTCATGGAGAGACCCAGGGGAGGCACTGGGTTCAGATTAGCCTTGGGTTCAATGCCGGAAGTCCATTACCAGGAAATTAACAAGAACAACCCGGTAAACTGCCTCACCTGCTGAGCTGAACGTCTTTTCTCACCTGTGACCTCTCTACTTCACACTCGGGGCTCAAGGAACCCTCGTGGCTCTCCAGACAACAGAACTGGTAAAGGGTACTTCCTTCCCGGACCACCCAACCTCTGGGGTCTCCATGGTGACTCAGCACTCTGTTCTAACCTTGCCTGTTGACTGCAGGGTTGCACGGCAGACCACTCCATGTCTTATTCATGACCACAGCTTCAGTATTCCCATGCTCTCGGGGCCTAATAAACGAGGCTGAATATTGTCAAAACTTTGTGAGTTTGGTTTGTTTGTTTTGAGACCAGGTCTCCCTACATAGCCCAGGTTTTCCTATAGATATTTTTACTCACTTTGTAGACCAGGCTGGCCTCAAACTCAGAGATCCCCCTGCCTCTGCCTTCAGAGTGCTGGGATTAAAGGCATGTGCCACCACACCCTGAAACACTTTGTAAGTTTTAAAGGTAGGCAAAAGTCCAAGATGGGTGCTCAGTGCGTATTTATTGAGAGGTGTGGAGCAGAGTGTACAAAATTCTCATTTTTGAGCCTTTCAGCTGCATTAACATAGAAGTCCACAAGATGTCAGTGTTTCTACGCAAGGAAAAAATGATTTGCCAGTTTGGATGCTACTGAAAGCGTTTCCCCTGGGATGTGAAATATCAACAGTAAACATTCACAAAGAAACAACATAGCCTGTTAGAGAGGATGGACAATAGAATCAGAGTAAGTGCTTCACCTTCATTGGAGCAATTAAACGCTCCTTTCTTTCTGCTTGTCATCTTGATGCCCAGCTACTCTGCGCCATCACAAGGGCAACTATTTTTATCAGGCATAGGGTAATCCTAACATTTGTGAGGTCTATAGAGGTTGGTACATCAGGAGTTCAAGGTCATTCTCAACTATATAGAAAGTGCAAGGTCAATCTGGGCTACACAGAAATGCCACACACACCCTCAAAAAAAAAAATCAAGCGGGGAGGTGATGGCACAGGCCTTTAGTCCCAGTCAGTACCCAGGAGGTAGAGGTAGGCAGGTCTCTGAGTTCAAGGTCAGCCTGGTCTACAGAGAGAGTTTCAGGACAGCCAGGGTTACACAGAGAAACCCTGTCTCAAAAAACCAAACCAAGCAAACAACAGTTTGGTTATTTTATTGGGGTACTAATGCAATTATAACTTAAATTCCAATGTTTTGCTATGGTAAGTTAGCCTACACTGAGTTTCTGCCTTGTACACTCTCACCTGCGAGTGTCTTTTTCTTCACAAGCTTGTCACGTGGTTATTTTACACGCATGAGATTTTTTTTTTTTTTTTTTTTGGTTTTTCGAGACAGGTTTTCTCTATGTAGTTTTGGAGGCTGTCCTGGCACTCGCTCTGTAGACCAGGCTGGCCTTGAACTCACAGAGATCCGCCTGCCTCTGCTTCCCGAGTGCTGGGAATAAAGGCGTGCGCCACCAACGCCCAGCGCATGAGATATTTTTACACGCAAGTATATAGAACTATTGTAACAGGCCTCCAGACCTTAAGAGGCACAGCTAACTCCATGATGGAAGTGTTGTTCACAAAACTCTACACCACAGCACTAGAACGCTGTGCTGTGAAGAGGAAGCGTGAGCCCAGAGCCTAGTAGAACACTGCAAGGCACCGCTAAAGGAGGGAGGGGACATTCAGACAATGGGGACTCTGCGACTTCATGTTCAAGAGAGCCACCAGGTACAACAAAGACGCACCGGAGTCTTTGTGTTTCAACTAGGGAACTGGTTGTAGGATTACGATACGTCTTGTTTTGATATTTAACACATCCGGGGATGTTCAAGATGACCTTGAACTTCCATTCCCACCTTCCAAAAATAGGGATCAAAATTCTGTGTCAACACACACACCTGGCTCTGGAACCTTGAATTCTAATAGCCACGCCCCAGCAGAGTTTTCCTTTAGCCCCGCCCCCTCTCCCCGAACTTCATTTCCCAACATTCTCGTAACGCCGCTCAGTCAGCGGCCATTATGACGTCATCCCACAGCCCTTAGGGAAATGTAGTCTGTTCAGTCTCCAGTTAGGGGAAGATCTGGGGCCGTGGACTACCACTCCCGAGAGGTAGTGCGCAGTCCCACCCCATAAGCGGCGTCTTCGAACGCGCCGCGGCAGCCATGTTGATCGTGGCTAGCACAGGGGCCGGCACCAGGGGATTATAGAAGCAGGTGTCATGATGTTGTCCGCGGTGATGAGGAGAACCGCGCCGGCACCGCGGCTCTTCCTAGGGCTGCTCAAGTCTCCCTCGCTCCAAAGCCGGGGAAGCGCTCACGGCCGGAGCGCTACCGTCGGAGACCGCGGAGAGCCGCAGCGGCTGAGAGCTGCCGCCTGGGTGCGCCCTGGAGCATCGTGTGTCGTGGTCCCTGGACGGGGGGCAGCCACCGGGGGGCGCCGCGGAGAACGCACCGAGATCTCATGCCTCGCTGTTGCCTCGGGGGGACGCGGCCCTAGCCCCGAAGAAACACTCCCGGGACAGGACAGCTGGGACAGCTGGAATGGGGTCCCCAACAAGGCAGGACTGGGCATGTGGGCCTTGGCCACGGCGCTGGTGGTTCATTGCTACAGCAAGAGTCCTTCCAACAAGGGTGATTACGGGGCCAGTCTGGGTTCAAGGGAGGTGTGGGGGGTAGGTCCTGACTCCTTTGGAGGGTTGAAGGTGTTTGTAAATTTAGACCCGCATAACCTTACCCGTGGAGACACCCAGGTACCGTCTGCTGCCTGAGCAAAATGTTGCCTTGGAAAGCTCCCTTCTCGGAATTTTCCATTGTAGGTCTAGTCCCCTCTTCGGGCATCAGTTTGTGTATCTGTATAATGGGGACATTGAAGTGACTAATTACAGCTGGTGCTTTTATATGCCAGTATTATATCTGGCCCATTAGTCTTTGAAGAGGTCTCCAGAAATCCCCAGCAGCTTTATGAACAATCTCTGCATGTTTGCCTGCATACAAAGGCCCGAGGAAGGACACTTGGTTCTGGTCCCACGCTCCTCTCTGGTCTTAGTTTCCCCGCTGTGTCGTGAAGGCAGTTTCTCAGTTCTCTAAGACTGGCCTTTTGATCTCTCAGAGTTCAGAGTGTGTTCAGCAGTTCCTTAGTGTTTGCTACGCTCAGTGTCACGCTTAAAGTGAGCCGGACGTTGTGGGGGGTGGAGCCTCGGGGGACGGAGTTGGCAGCAGGAAGGTAGCTCTCTGGAGACTTAGAGCAGGAGGAGGGCTAGGATAGGAGGTGGAGGTAGCTAACACTGATTGGCATTTTACCTGGAGGGGTGGCCTGGCTGAGCCCAACCTCTCAGGTTCTCAGTTTCTGGTGAGGAACTTGTTAAAGTGTGGCTCTGGTGGGTTTGATACACCCGAAACTCTGAAATTGGTGAACAAGATTGGATGCTGCCTTCGCTTCCATTGGCTTGTTCAGTAGGATGTGGCCAAAGAAAGGGCTTTGGATGAGAAATGACAGCACCAAGGGTCTTGTTTTGTACCGTCTTGCTCAGTTTGTGAAGCTGGGCTCTTCTTCGCTGGTCCTCGGTTTCCTTCCTACTGACGAGGGTACTGAAATAGGGCCCTTATAGCTTAAACATGCAGCGATGATATGATTTGCAGCTTGTATGTGCGTGGAGGTGTTGTTCTCTCTGCTTAGCTTGGAGCTAGGTGTTCAAAAAGTCCCAGCTTAAAACCCAGCCAGTTAAGGCAGTTGAGCATTACAGAGGATCAGAGAGCTAGTGGGGTCAGCATAGCCTTCCTGGAGGACTGGAAGTCCTTAGAAGATGGGGAGTTTGAACTTGAAATCTAAAGGATAACACAGGAAATACAAGTTTGTGTGGGGGGTGGGGCAGTGACCTTGTGCATCCCATGACAGCCAGGCCTGCATCTTTTTTTTTTTAAGATTTATTTATTTATTATGAATACAACATCCTGCCTCCATGTATGTCTGCAAGCCAGAAGAGGGCACCAGATCTCATTATGGATGGTTGTGAGCCACCATGTGGTTGCTGGGAATTGAACTCAGGACCTCTGGAAGAGCAGTCAGTGCTCTTAACCTCTGAGCCATCTCTCCAGCCCCGGCCTGCATCTTTCTTACCTTTATTTTATTAGTATTTCCCTAACACTAAACGTCTGTCCACAAGTGTGTGGATCATGGAAGGAGAATCATTAACAAATGTGTCTTGGGTTGGATTGTGGTCCATACCTGGTGTGGAGAGGCTAGCAGTTGGGTGGGTGAGGGCGGAAGACAAGGTCTTTGGAATGAGGCAAGAGAAGATGAGATGGACCCTGTGCGCCAGGCAGGGGTGTTTGGAATTCTGTACGCAGTAAAGAGCCATGAAGGCTCATGGCCAAAGATTGCCCAGCAGCCATTGTGTTTGGAAGAACAGGAGACAGGTGTCTGAAATCTGGCCCTCGAGGTTACTGGGGACCTTAGACTGGACTGTATGGTATGTGATTTCAGTGATATCTACTTTTAAAAATGACTCAAACTAGGTGGTGGTGCACGCCTTTAATCCCAGCACTCGGGAGGCAGAGGCAGGCGGATCTCTGTGAGTTCGAGGCCGGGCTGGACCGACAGCCTCCAAAACAATACAGAGAAATCCTGTCTTGTAAAAACCAAAAAAAAAAAAAAAAAAAGACTCAAACTATGGCCAGTTCCCCTTCCGACTTGCCTGGTAGGGATTTTGAGCAGAGTCCCTCAGTTCAGAGTTCTGATGAATTCTGCTGTAGGTGGTGGAAAGCCAAGGAAAGTTTGTGAACCCAGAATGTCCCAGGCTAAATCTCAGCTCATTCCTCCCTCCCTTGGTGACTTTGGAGAAAGAAGGAGAGTTGATAAGTATCTATAAGAAATGGTGTTCCTCTCCCAGCTGGAGATTGGGCACAATTAGGTGTGTGGATGAGAACAATCCTTAAGAGCTAGGCATGATGGCACATACCTTTAATTCCAGCACTGGAGACTGAGGCAGGTGGATCTCTCTGAGTTCCAGGACAGCCTGGGCTACATAGTGAGATCTTATCTCAGAAAACAAACTAACTGAAAAACGGAATACCTAAGGAAAGTAGGGCAGACCTGGCTCTAGTCACAGACCTAGTCATAGGTTAGCTGGAGTGGAGGCCCACGTGCTGAAAAGAACTGGTATCACTGGACATGGTGCTGCACACCTTTAATCCTAGCACTCAGGAGGCAGAGGCAGTCAGATCTCTGTGAGTTCGAGGCCAGCCTAGTCCACAGAGTTCAAGGACAGTCAGTCTACAAAAAGAAACCATCTCTCAAAAAATAAAAAACAAAAACTGGTTAATTCAGGTGATGTGACTGGTGTCTGATCCCTCTTCACATAAGCTGCAGCTCAGGAGTTCAGATGAGTTGGACAGGTCACACAAGTAATCATTAGTGCTGGGGCTGGGGCTGGGCTCAGCTTGCCTCTGACTCCAGTGACTAATCCTAAATTTACCTAGTGAGTCTCATGGCTACTGAATGCCGAGGGCTGGGGAGAAGTCATCCTAGTGGCCAGCAGTATAGTCCAGAACCAGGATGGGCACAGAGGGTGCCAGCTATGCCTTTGCTGTTGACTTGTGAATTTTTCCAAGTGGCCACAAGGTGGTGCCAACAACCAGGCCAGGCTTCAGCTAGGCCTGAGTCCTCAGGGATCTGATTGAACTGTGAGTCTCCTTTCTCTGGGCTTGTACCTCGGATTTTGAAGACTTTTTCTTTTTTTTTTTTTTTCTTTTTTTTTTTTTTTTGTATATCCTCCATGTTCTTGTAAGCCTGGCGAGAACTACTGTCTGCCGAAGTTGGTTGAGGAGGAAGGGCTGCAGCAGCCACACAGATAACAGCTGAGTGGGTTGGGTCCCAGTGTCCATGACTTCTGATTGAGGTTCTTTCCATTCTTACCGAGACCCACATACCTGAGCCTTAGTGCTTGGGAATGGTGGGGTAATTAGCACAGCATCTGCCTGCATCCCCAGAGCAGAAGGGGGGTGGATTTTACCTGGGGACGGGGTTTGGTTGGTCTTCTCATGCCAGCCTTTCACTTTGAGGGACTTTCACTGACTTACTGGGCCTTCTCTCAGCTCTGAGAAGTAGGTCCTGGCCAGGAGTCTGACCAGAACTCCATCTCTTTTCAGATGCAGCTCTGATGGAAGCTGCCCGTGCCAACAATGTGCAGGAAGTCCGAAGGTGAGTGTCTGGGCCTTGCTGTCTTACCCAGAAAGGCTGAGTACAGTGTGTTGACTCTGCCTTAGAGAATCTCTCCCTGCCCTGGACTTGTTTCCCAAGGGTTCCTTGTAGCCACAGTCACAGGCTCCCCTGGCCCAGATTAGACTTCACTATTTTAGGTATGGATGAGGGCCCCCAGACATCCCTAAGTGTTCGGTGATACTGACTTGGAGTGTGTGGACCTGTGGATCTTCCAGTTCTTGTTCCTCTGTGGAAGTGACCATGCATTAATGTTTGCTGCCTGGACCTGGTGTAGGTGAGCACCCTTGGAGAAAGAAGTTTGGGGTTTAGGAGCTCTTTGTGCCCGAGGGTCCTATGTGACTAAGAAGGCTTGCTTACAGATCTGAGACATGCTGGACTCCGACAGAGGCAGGCCATAGTTCTTCAGCTTGATTGGCTCACCTCGGTCTCCTGTGCTTCTCAAAGGAGGGAGGTTAATTTTGAGTTGGGTAACCTTGAGCTAGTAGCATGGGCAGGGCAGAGTGTCCATGTAAGATAGATAGATGCTGATGGTGGGGCCCAGCTAGAGCATCAGTTATGGGCTGTTGTTTAGAGACAGCCCTGTTGCACTTCAACTACATCTAAGTGACTGTGGGACCCTCTCCTTTCTTACCTCTATCTTTTTAAATAACTTATTTAACTTAATTTTATGTGCATTGGTGGAACTGAAGTTAAGACAAGTGACTGGAACTGGAGATACGGACAGTAAGCTGCCATGTGAGGGCTGGGAATTGATCCCTGGTCCTCTGGAAGAGCAGCTGGTGCTGTTAACTGCTGAGCCATCTCCCCCCCACCCCTGTGTGTGTGTGTGTGTGTGTGTGTGTGTGTGTGTGTGTGTGTGTGTGTGTGTGTTTTGGTTTTGTTTTTTTTTTTTTTTTGCCACACTGGATCTAAACAGGTCTTATACATACTTGGCTCTACTAATGAGCTCCTTCTCTAGCCCTTAGTTTTATTTTCTTTTTTAGTTATTTTTTAAAGGTTTCATTTTTACTTATTATGCATTTATTGACTGATTGATTGATTTAATTTTGAGACATTTTCTCTCTGTCTCTGTAATCCTTACTGTCCTGGAACTCACTTTGTAGAGCAGGCTAATCTCAAACTCGCAGAGCTCTTCCTGCCTTTGCCTTCCAGAATCAGGATTAAAGGCATGTGCCACCAATTTTATTTTCATTTTATGTGTATTGGCACCCTGCCCACAGGTATTTCTGTGTATCATGTCCATGCAGTGCTCTTGGCAAGAACAGGGCATTGGGTCCTCTAGAACTGGAGTCACAAGGGGTTGGGAGCTGACGTGTGGGTGCTGGGAATGGAACTCAGGTCCCTTGAAAGAGCAGCCAGTGCTCTGAACCTTGGAGTCATCTCACCAGCTCCATAGTTTTTTGAGACTAGATTTTTTTGTATAACCCAGGTTGGCTTTGAACTTTCAGTCCTCTTGCCTCGGCCTCCTAAGTGCTGGGATTGTAGGTGTAGGCAACCATGCCTGGTGTTGTGTTCACATTTTAGATAGGAATTCAGTGTTTGGGGTAGTTATCCCTGCATACCCTTTGTGCCCTTCCCCACTCATAATGCTTGAACATATAAGAAAGTATGAAAAGGCAGCCACGGCTCCACCAAGACTTACTGCTTTGATTCCCTTTCATTTTATCTGCGGCATTATTATTGATTCTCAAGGGTGCTTTTGAGTATTAATGTTCACGGCTTAGTTTTTAATAAACCACTTTTGGAAGTATGGGCTGGGAGTTGTTTTGTAGCCAAATAAATTTGATGGAGCAATAGTTTAATAAACATGTGATGATGCATCTTAAAAACCAAGCACAGATGTCATCTTGTTGTTATAAGGGCCATTCATAACTGCAGCTGCATGCGGCGGCTTCATGCCCCAGACACGTGCCTTGCTTCTAGAGCCTTATTACAGGGAAGCAAGGAGTAGAAGCTGACTTACTGACCCCGGAATCACCTGTTGGTAATTGCAACTTCCCACCCCCCAAGCCCAGTGTAGGCAGCAGGTTTGCTGAGCTGAGGAGGCTGACTTTACCTTATTTTAGCAAGACCCACTCCAAGGGTTGATAATTTGGGCTCTGAAATTTATGAGTTTTTTTAGTTTTAGTTTTTTGAGGCAAGGTTTCATGTATACAGGTTGGCCTCAAACTCACCATATAGCCAAGGATGACCTTTAACTTCTGATCCTTCTGCCTCTACCTTCTGAATGATGTGGTCCCAAGTGTGTACCACCATGATAGATTTTATGTGGTGCTGAGGGTTGAACCTAGGACTGTGCATGCTGGAATGGCACCTACCAGCTGGGGTTTGTTGTTGTTGTCTGGTTTGGGGGTTTGGTTTTTTGTTTTTGAGATATTTCTTGCTATTTGGTCCAGAAAGGGATCTAAAACTCACGATCTTCCTGTCTTAGCCTCCCAAGTGTGTGATTATACCCAGGCACTACTATGCCTGCAAATACATTTCCTCCTTCCCTCCTCCCTCCCTCCTTTCTTCCTTCTGCCCCTGCTTCCCTAGTACTGGAATTATATGTGCACATACACTGTTAAATACATTTGTAGTTTTAAGATCTTTTTACATTATGTGTGTGTGAAGGGGAAGAAGGGTAGACCCCAGTGTGTGGGGGTGCTCACAGAAGCCCCAGACACACCCCAGATACTGCCTTGCTTTCTAGAGCCTTACTATAAGGAAGCCAGAAGAGAGTGTCAGATCCCCTGATGCTGGAGCTACAGACAGTTGTGAACAACCTGAAGAACAGCATTGTGCTTTTCAACACTGAGTTATCTCTCCAGTCCCTAAATACATGTTTTTGTAATGACAACTAAATACCTGCCAGCTCTGGACTGTGGTACTGTTTACTGCTTTATGAGAATCTGGCTAATTGTGTATAGGGGGCTGCTTTATCAAAAAGACAAGCCAGGAACTACCATTTGCCACACATTATCCTTTCTTTCTACATTTTATGTATTAATTTTGTGTGCATGTGTTTGGGTCACTGGTGCCGCAGCATATATGTAGAGGGTAGATTACCAGTGGGAGTTAGTTCTTCTCCATGTGTGTCAGGGATTAAGTGCAGGTCCTCAGACTTGGTGGCAGACACTTTTTACCTGCTGAACCATCTCACTGGCTTCCTGTTATTCTTTGTGTTAAGGAGTTTGAGCTGGTTATACTGGCTCAAGCCTGTAATCCTAGCATTTAGGATGAGGCAGGAAACTCTCCGGGTCAAGACCAGCCTATACTCCTCAGTGAGTTAGAGGTGAGGAAGACCATCTCAAAACAAAATAAAACAACAAAAGCAAACTGAACACCAAAACAACAAAAGAAGTTTGTGAATTACCCTTCTCCTTGAGTCATTCAATTGTATGCCTCCCCGGGGGCAAGGACAGTCTGCTGTCCCTCTCTCTTACCTATTCCTGTTCCCCAGAGCACAATGAGACTGACTTGAATACCACAGAAGCAGGCAGTCCAGAGGCCTGTCTGTTCCAGTCTCCCACTGACACGAAAGGAGCTGGGCTCTTCCTCTTTCCTTCCCTTCTTCTTGAAGCACTTAACTTTGTAAGGTTACCCAACTCAAGCAGAAGGCTGGCCCCAGCCCTGCTTGGCAGCTGTGAGAGCAGGTGACCTCTCCCCCCCCCCAGCCCAGCCCCACTCTGAGCCTGGTTTCTACACTGAGCCACTCACCCAAGACCAAGGGCACTGGACAGACTGCTGCACATCTGTCTGGGCTCAGGCAGAGCCATGTGGGGCCTGTCAGGCTAGGGACAGGATTGAGAAACCTGTTCTCTATGGGGATCGTGTTTCCTTCAGATCACGCTGCTGAGAGATGGCATCCTGCCTGTCTTTTCACTTCACTGACTGAGAGCCCAGCCTTGTTAATGTACCCCCATTTAGTCATTCATCAGCCAGACAGTCTCAGATGAAGACAGCCTGCTAGCAAAAGCTTTGGACCTCTAATGGCTGGCTGCTCTTTCTTCTCACAGTTCCTATGTTCATTTGACAATTTCTGAGTCCTTGCCATTTGCTGGGTTCTTTGTTTGACACACACAGGCACGACTCCTTCTTTTGATGGAAAAGATGTGGAGCTGGGTATGGTATTGTAATCCCAGAGCTCTAATTGAGACCAGCCTGAACTACAGTGTGATGACCCTGTGTTGAGAGGGAGAAACAGTGACTGTGGCTGGGCTCTAGAGAGCAAGGATGTCTGGTGTGAAATGACACTGGATAGCTCTAAGGAAGGACCATACCACATTGGACTTTTTAAAGCCAGTGTGTATATACAGGCAGAAATGCAAACAGACATGTTTGTAGATTATAATTTTTAAAGTTTTTAGTGCTTAGTGGAAAACATGTTGGTTAACAGCTATAGTAGTATGGGAAGACTAACAAAACATGGCTGTAAACTAAATATAGGTTATTGGCAGAGCACTTGCCTAGCTTCTGTAAACTGAGTTCAATCCCTGCACCAAAAAAAGAAAGAAAGAAAGAAAGAAAGAAAGAAAGAAAGAAAGAAAGAAAGAAAGGCAACTGAAAAGTCGAAACTGATGATGTGTGGGGATTGAGCTAAGATGTTAGTAGCACAAATGGGGAGAGTTAGCTGGACTAGCCTGTAAGGGTTAGACTAGTGCTCATGCCTGATTCAGAGTCTGATACACAGTAAATATTCAACAGATAAATGCTGAGTGAATGAAGAGGACTAGGTGTGTTTAATTCAGAAAGGAAATGCTAGTGAATTTCCACTTTTCTGGTTGGAGCTCATGTGTAGATACTGTTGCCATATGCTGAAAAGAGGATTTGGAGGAATTGAGTGTGTGTGTGTGTGTGTGTGTGTGTGTGTGTGTGTGTGTGTGTGTGTTTTTCAAGACAGTCTCCACTATGTAGTCTGTTTGTCCTAGCACTCACTCTGTAGACCAGGCTGGCCTTTTTTTTTTTTTTTTCCGGCTTTTGGTTTTTGGTTTTTTCGA